GAGGGCGGGTACGGCGGCAGGTCGGGGGCGGGATGAGGGCGGTGCATGGCCGGCGATAGGGCCGGGTCGAGGAGGGAAGAGACGGGATGGGGCTGGCAAGGGAAAGGTGTGGGGTCTCAAGTAGGTGAGCGGCGCTGTGCTCTAAGAAGAACAGGGAATGGAGAGAGATATACGTACGTACAAGTGCTGATGTATTTGAGAAGAGAACGCAGGATTGAGGTAGAAAGAGATGATACAAGATAGATGAGGCTTACAATATCCGTTCTGAAATTACAGAAGGATGCATCAGAGCAATGATGAGCGTTAATGAGCAATGAGCAATGAGCGTTAATGAGAGAAAGTTGTAGGTTCAGAGATTATTAGTTAGCAGGACGATGTGTTGCGATTTAAAACCGAAAACTGCCAATAGTTGTCACTTGTCACAACTGTCACTTGATAAGAGGAAAATTGAGAATGAGCGTAAATGTAGAACATAGTTGTAGTGGGCGATGTGGGAAAAGTCAAATGGGGAAACTTATAGACATGAAATATGGGAGGAATTGGTCAAAAGTATTGGTATAAGATTAGTAGTTCAGTTTTACCTAGCATTAAAATTCATTACTGACATGGTGTTCTGGACAAACTGTATATTGTTCCCAAACATTCCGATCTAGACGTGCACATGATTTAGACAACTAGATTTCAAATATACTGACAAATTTACTGCCTCAACATAATCACGCACTCGTCAATAAAATTAGAACCTCTCAGCTGAAAGTGCAGTTGTATTACAATAATTTGTGAAAAGAAATGTGACATTACGAGTATTAATTGGTATTAATTAAAATATGTCAATAAATTCTGCTGAACATGGAAATTGTGATAAATTTTCTCATTTTCTGCGTAGAAAGTTATGCGCGTACAGAACTTCATTCATGTTATGTATTTTTGATGATTTACATTGGCATTTTTCTATAGGTAGTCATTGTTGGGAGTAATCAAACTAAAATTCCGGTAAATACAGCAAGGTAATCAATTACGGCACAAGTTAAATAGTATTTTGTACACGAAAATGCAACGAGTGGTTTACCTCAAACGAACAAACTCACAGTGTAGAGAGTTCATAAATAAAATATTTCAAGAAAAATGTGATGCACTAGTACAAATTATCTACTTTTTCCGCAGGCACGCAACACTTTTTATCTCACAAGATGAACATAACATCACTCACTTAACAGCACGACGAATGTGGCTAAAAGGAGTTTGGAACATAACCCTGATTTGCAAAATAAGTATATTTCAGGAGCACTGAGTACATATCTGTACAGTCAGCTTTTATTTATGTATAATATATGAAAGCTGTAGTGAAATATATTGGTTTCTCTATGAATGTTTGTATAGTGTCCGTCTGACCTCCAGCCGCAACAGATTGCAGTGAAGACACACAAAAAGCTTTATGCAAAATGAAACAGATATGAGCCTACATGTAAGCTTTCAATTTAAGAAATGTAACTTGCAGCTTCAATTAAATGTACTTACACTATTACGTAGGTTTACACCGCATCACGATATAAAACGTGTCATCAGTTGGAGTTTTTTTAATAGCAATGTTTTTCATGTTAATCAAATGGACCACTGTCTAGCGATACGTAGTACTAGACAGCGCGCGATAATCCAGGCACGAAATTCGGAAACCGATTTATCCGAATTACTATAGGCATTTTTCACACGATTTTCGGGTTATCCAGTAAAAACTTTAAATGAAAAATATCAATGGATCTTTCCAATTTAAGAAAATTTGTCGCGTGAAAAATTAAAGAGGAAAACCTTCGTTTCCACAACGCCTCGACCGCCAGTGCCGTACGCGACAACCCACTGTGGAGATGTGCGGCTACAGAGGGATGTGTTCCCTTTCAATACGTACAGAACTTTTTAGAAAATTCAAAAAATAGAATTAATTCACAATTAATAAAGATTTTTGGATTTATATTAATACGGTTAACAATTAACATATTTTTAAAATTTTCAGAATTTTAAACGTTCGCATGGTTTTTAATTCAAACTAAGTAGTTCTAGTAGAGACATTAATATTTTTTATTTTAAAAAATGCATGAAAAGCAAAACAGGGAAATTGAAAGTAACGTAAAAAATAGATATTTCAATGGATGAATTTAAATTTTAAATTTATTTTTTTAAATGGCTTCCCCCTCTTCATATTTTCTGAAGCCGCCTTTCCACAGAGTGATCCGCTGTTCAGTCCAGCGCGGCCTCAGTCTTCACGGTAATGCAATCTCAACCGACCGACGAGCAGGTAACGGAATCTCGCGTCCGATATTTTCCAGTGCAGTTCATTTCACGTATTGATTGCGAGCCCAGCAGGCCTGCCGTATGGAAATTTCGTTCCACATTTCAAGCGTTTGTTAGAACTTGAACGGTGAGCACCGACGGAAATAAAAAAGGACGCTTTAAAGGCTGACTTGTACAGCGCTTCTCGCAGATGATCCTAAAGATCCACACTTTAAGTATGGCATGTACTTTCAGCAAAAGAATTTGTCTGGGAATAAAATAGTCCTGGACTTGTAGGTTCCCCACGTGACGCGAGTAGATAAATTCGCACATTTCACGATATTTATTTGTACGAAGAGGGTTTTTTAGTTATTCATGACGTTGAGGTAGGTGTGTCCTAAGTGTGCTTCCAAAGCAAGTTTTTGTCTGGGATCTCGAAAAAGATTTGACTCGAGGGAATGAAATAAATGTCTATTGGACAATATTTTGCAACGATTTTTTTAGCAATTCCTAGAGCTCTTATGGATTCATATCGAGCTGCTGTTACTTTGGAAAAGGGATACTGGTCAGCCTCGATGGAAGTCCTTGAACGATCCAAAAACGGATGATTCGTGACATGAAAATAAACACGTCCCACTAG